TTTGACACAGAGAGGGAGCTTGAGCAGGGGCAGGGGAGAGGGATAAGCAGGCTCCCTGCTGAGCAGGGAAGACGAAGGGCTCAATCCCAGGACCCTGAGATCATGACCTGAGCTGAAGGCAGAGGCTTAACGGACTGAGCCACCCAGGTGCCCCTTAAAAATAAAATCTTAAAAAAAAAAGAAGGGATGGGTGGGAATCTGTTTACTGTAGACCTTCTGAACCTTACAATTTTTGAACCATGGGAATGTATTACAAAAAATAAAATTTAAATGTAAATGAAAAAATATACATTTGCATTAATCTAGTAATGTTAATGCTAGGAACATATCCTAAAGAAATACACAGTGGGGGGCGCTGCTTCTCCCTCTCCCCCGCCCCTGCACATGTTCTTTTGATATTTCTCTCTCTCTCTCTCTCTCAAGTAAATAAATAAAATCTTTTTAAGAAAGAAAGAAAGAAAGAAACACACACACACACAGGGGGGCGCCTGGGTAGCAGAGTCAGTTAAGTGTCTGACTCTTGGTTTCAGCTCAGGTAGTCTCATCACTGAGTCTGCTTAAGACTCTATCTCCCTCTTCCCGTGCCCTTACCGCCCCCACCCCCCCTCCTCTAAAATAAATAAATAAATCTTAAAAAGAAAAGAAAAGAAACACACAGGATCCAGAATAGCCAACCCAATATTGAAGGAGAAGAACAAAGCTGGAGGACTAAGATCATCCAACTTCAAGAAGCTATAGTAATCAAGACAGTGTGGCATTGGTGGAAGTGTAGACAAATAGACTAATGGAACAGAATAGAGGACCCAGAAATAGAATCCCCAAAATATATCAACAGATCTTTGACAAAGAAGCAAAGATAACACAATGGAACAAAGATATTCTTTTCAACAAATGGTGCCGGAACAACTGGACATCCACAGGCAAAAAAAAAAAAAAAAGAAGCTAGACACAGACTTTACACTCTTCATAAAAATTAACTAAAAAATATGGTTCGATCCTGGGTTTTGGCAGAAAAAATTTTAAAAACCAACTCAAAATAGATCATAGACCTAAATATAAAATGAAAAACTATAAAACTCCTAAAAAATAACATAGCACAAAACCTAGATGACCCTGGGTAGGATGATAACTTTTTAGATTCAACACCAAAGCCACATCCATGAAAGAAAAAAATTGATAAGCTAGACCTTATTGAAATTTAAAAACTTCTGCTCTGGAAAAGACAGTGTCAAGAGAATGAGAAGACAAGCCACAGACTAGAAGAAAATGTCGGCAAAAGACACATTTGATAAAGGACTGTCATCCAAAATACACAAAGAACCCTTAAAACTCAACAATAAGAAAACAAACAACCCAATTTTAAAACGGGCAGAACACCTAAACAGACACCTCACCAAAGAGGATACACACATGGCAAATAAGCATATGAAAAGATGCTCCACATCACATCATATGGGGAAATGCAAATTAAAACAACAATAAGGGACCACTATATATTTATTAGGATGGTCGAAATCCAGAACACTGACAACACCAAATGTTGGTGAGGATGTGAAGCAACAGAAACTTTCATTCACTGCTGGTGGGAATGCAAAATAACACAGCCACTTTGGAAGACAGTTTGGTGGTTTCTTACAATACTAAACATACTCCTATCATATGATCTAGCAATCATACTCTTTGGTATGTGCCCAAAGGAGTTGAAAACTTAGGTCCACACCAAAAACTACACATGGATGTTTATAGAAGCCTTATTTATAATTGCCAAAACTTGAAAGCAACCAAGATGCCCTTCAGCAGATGAATGGATAAACAAAATTGTATATCCAGACAATAGAATACTATTGAGTGCTAAAAAGAAACGAGCTATTGAGCCATGACGAGACATGAAGGAACTTTAAATGCATCTTACTAAGCTAAAGAAGCCAACCTGAAAAGGTTATATACTGTATGATTCCAACTACATGACTTTCTGGAAAAAGGAAAATTATACGGACTCTAAAAAAATCAGTGGTTGCCAGGGGCTAGGGGTTTGGGGGAAGGGATAAGTAAGTGGAACACTGAGGATTTTTAGGGCAGTGAAAATACTCTGTAAGATACTATAATGATGGAGACATGTCACTAAATATTTGTCCAAGCCCACAGAGTGTAAAATACCAAGAGCAAGTCCTAAGATAAACTATGGATTTTCAGTGATTACAGTATATCTGTATAGGTTCATTAGTTGTAACGAAGGCATCACTCTGGTAAAGGATGTTGTTAATGATGAGAAGGGCATTATGTAGGTGTTGGTAGAGAGAGTGTATGGGAAATCCCTGTACCTTCTCTCAATTTTGCTAGGAACCCAAAACTGCTCTAAAAAAATTAAAGTCTTAATTTAAAAAAAAAGCAAGAAAGATTTAGGAATGCATAACTATGTATCTATTACAGCAGACAGAGATCAATTAAAAAAATTAGAAAAAGACTGGGGTGCCTGGGTGGCACAGTCGATTAAGCGTCCAACTCCTGGTTTCGGCTCAGGTCGTGATCTCAGGGTCAAGAGATCGAGCCCCACATTGGGCCCTGCACTCAGCATGGAGTCTGCTTGAGATTCTCTCTCCCTCTACCCTCCTGCTTGTTCTCTCTCTCTCTCTAAGAAATAAATCTTTTTTAAAAAATCAGAAAAAGATTAAATATCTGGGTGCCTGGGTGGCTCAATTGGTTAAGCGACTGCCTTCGGCTCAGGTCATGATCCTGGAGTCCCGGGATCGAGTCCCACATCGGGCTCCCTGCTCAGCAGGGAGTCTGCTTCTCCCTCTGCCCTCTTCCCTCTCGTGCTCTCTGTCTCTCATTCTCTCTCTCTCAAATAAATAAATAAAATCTTTAAAAAAAAAAAAGATTAAATATCTAACAATAAAGAATTAAATTATGATAAAATTTTAGACTACAACAAAATATTATATAGCTATTAAAAATGGTATGATCCTCTTTGACAACCGTTTAATATGAGTAATGGTATATGAAGGTTCACAATGCTATTCTCTCCAGAGTATATTTGATTTTATTAAAAACAAAGCAAGCTAAAAAAATCATTCAATTTAAAGGGGTTAAACAGGGGCATCTGGCTGGCTCAGTTGGTACAGCATGCAACTCTTGATCTCAGGGTTGTAGGTTTAAGTCCCACATTGGGTATAGAGATTACTTAAAAAATAAAAAAAATAAATCTTAATAAAATGGGCCAAACAGAAAAAGATCCAGAGAAACATACCACAGTATTAAAAGTACTTCCCTTTGGATTACAAAGTCAGACCCGAGATAAGACAAAAAACAAAAAAGATGAAAAAATTAGCTAAGAAGATGAATATACAGGGCGCCTGGGTGGCTCAGTTGGTTAAGCGACTGCCTTCGGCTCAGGTCATGATCCTGGAGTCCCAGGATCGAGTCCCGCATCAGGCTCCCTGCTCAGCGGGGAGTCTGCTTCTCCCTCTGACCCTCCCCCCTCTCATGTGCTCTCTCTCTCCTCTCATCCTCTCTCTCAAATAAATAAATAAAATCTTTAAAAAAAAAAGAAGATGAATATACAATTCACAAAAGAGAAATACAAAGGCCAATAAGCATGAGAAAACATTCACTCTTGGTAATAAAAGAAATGACTATTAAGACTCAGTGTGCTAGGGGGGTGGGTGGGGTGAAGGTAAATGGTGCAGGTGGGAGGAAACTGCCTGCAGCTTAGGGCAGGAATTGTGAGATCCAACTCATAAAATTCTTCATATTTTACAAATCAAAAAGTCGGGAGGTAACAAACTTATATGTCAAATAAATAAATGTTACTTTCAATATAAAAAAAAAAAAAGACTCAGTGTGCTAACTTTTCTTCCACTCTAACTGGGAACTAGTCAAAAAAAAGGAAGAAAATAGTATTCAGTGTTGGCAAGGACAGAGAAATAACATGACTATTGGGAAAACAGGATTTTTTTACTTCAATGGTTTTGCAAGGCAATTTGGCTACACAAATGAAAAGCCTTAACAGATCTAGAATATCTTTGATCCAATAACTCCGT